ATTCCCCACTGTCCATATGTGAACTCGTAGCTCCTTCCACCATTCCGTTTTCAACCACCAGTGACCACTTTCAAAGCTGTGGATGCCACCCTTGGTCTTGGACGGAGTGTCCTACTCAGTGACAACCAACATGAATTGATGCGATGACGTAATATCGGTGGCTTCCCAAGTTACTTCAGCCACCTGTGATCATCGATTCAGGATATCAATGATTAGGCTGAATTCGTTTCGCTCAATATTTCCAATGACTTCAAACTAGAATGCTACCAGAGCTCCCTTTTCACAACGATTCACCTGCATCCTATGCTTCTCAACCGGGTGAGAGGCCGTTTATCATCCGGTTTCTTCAGAGTTGCCTTGATGAGACTGTTTCACGGATTGGCAACGTCACTGCCGGCGTCCCACGATGCTTCGCCGTACATCATATCGTTCTTTTTGCCATTCATAAGTGACTTCTTTTCATCCGTTTTTCGTGTGCACCTATGGTTTTTACTATGTGGTATTCATCAAAAACCTACGTTTAACCCCGTCACAGCCATCGCGAACAGTGGTCAGGTACCCATCAACATCTCTTCATGTTGCAGTTTTCCTGCGGCGTTCCGACCGCGAACACGTTTGCAACCTAGCTGCCAAGCTCGGTGAACTGATCAACCCTCTACTTCAACCCAGTGCCTCGGTCGATAAAAAAATAAATGGCAGTTGATGCCCGTCAACCAGACAATCCCAGCGTCGAGTGCTAGACGGCAAGTTAGCGGAAAATCAATAAATTTTTCATTTGGAGGGAATAATTGAAAGAATTTCTTCTGGAAAAAGTTTCCAAACCAAAAATATGCACATATTTATTCAGGCATATCAAATCAATATAGCTATGTCTTCGCGTGTCAGCCAATATTGATTGCCCAATTGGGAAAAACTCACACCCTGGGTGGAATCATAATTTTATCGGTTATTTGTGAGAACTGTGTGGTTAGTCGTTCATTCACTTGAGCAAGAAGAAGCCAACCAAATGGGTCAGAATGTAATAAACGATTGTGTGCTCTATTGAAGATTTTACACCCCGCAACACTCCAGGCAACAACTATAGTCTTCTTTGAACCCGTTTAGAATCTCAGATTTCCTGAAACCAAATTACGGTATCAGTGATAACACGTAATTAGGATGCTCTAAGGGTTGACACGTCAGGAGAAAATGGACCGACGCGTCAGCTGGAACCACAGCAGTTCCGGTGTGAGCAGTTTTGTTGATAGATCCGGGAGATTGAGATAGTTTAATCGATAAAATCCAACACGCGATTTGAACTCTGCGATGGAATGATGAATGGCCTAGTTAAGTGAAAGCTAATCCCACCACTCGTCAACCGCTAATGACCGAACGCTTGAGGTCTCAACTACCGCAAATTTGCGGGTTCGAAAATCCCTCGGAAGGGGGTTGTGAGATGCGTATTGTGGATCGTTCCCAATAAGAACGAAATGATGTTAGAACACTTTAGCTTTCGAGAAATACACTCATTTGCAAATCAATTTGGTTTACACGAGAGACTCAACTGAATCTCTCGTTTAGGATATTCTACGACTGAATGTGCTGCACACGGGCCGCCTCATGTTTCAGTTGGCACGATATTC